TGACATCAAACAGGCAAACTTTATTAATAAAGTGGAGCGACGTGTCAAAGCTCACACACTCACACTGCTGCTTTCAGCTTGTATTGTGTTTAAACTGTTCATATGTTTCTATTATTTTCATTTAAAATCAGTTGCTCTGCTGCCTGTGGACCTGTTGCCTCCTCCATGAAAACTTCACTCATCACCAGACTGATAAACGCAGTGTTCACGTAACCAGCTGACGTCCATCACTGTGTACCAAGTATCCTGACTGTTAGTGTGCGTGAAGCCAGAAAAGATCACGTGTTATTTCCCCGCGTCACATGATCCGTATTATGTTTTCAGCTGCAGAGCACACGGCACACTGGACAGTTCATGGACGTCGTTGTTTGTTAAATAATCACAGATAATAATTATCTCTGATTAAGCTGCATGGTCAGAGAAAATAACTTTACATAAAGGCACTGAGAAGGTCATCCTACCAGTCCTCCCCTTTTTGTCCCGGGCATGAGGATCCGCTCCCAGCTCCACCAGTGTGTTTATAGTGGACGTGTGGCCCTCCTGAAAGAGATGCATGTCAGTGTCAGTGTGAGAAGGATCTGTAGCTCGTGCTTTGCCTCCAGGCTTTTATTCTCTTGTTATGTTCGGTATGTGAGTCTTGTATCAGCAGTCTGAGAAAACTGTTCATTCACTCTTCATGGCTACAACCACAGACGACATAAAACAGCCTCCTGTAATTCTTGTAATGGAGAGCACAGCCATTGCAGGGGGGTATGGACACTGCTAGCATAACGGGCAGGTTTGTGACGAGGCTCCCACACAAACGCAAAGCAGGAGATGAAGCATCGCCAAATATGTGCAAACATTTTTCTTGTAAAACAAAGAGGGGCAAGCAAAAAAAGTTTGGGAACCACTGTGCTATAGGAACCACGTGCAAAAAGGAAACACAAACTGGTGTGATATACCAACGTTACAGACATGTTTTATTTTCTCATCCCTCCAAATCCATGTGCATAATTCCAGATATGATGGCCACTGTAGGACAAACAAGCCACTGTTTGACTGTAGTGAAGAGACGCTGTCAGTCCACGATTTACCTCCACTGTCAATATCTATGTCAGTGCTCTCGTTTACAGTGATACTGATATCCTCAACTTTTCTATCAGTAAGCACTGCTTTAGCTGCTGTTAGCTGCTTTAGCTGTTGTTAGCTGCTTTAGCTGCTGTTAGCTGCTGTTAGCTGATTTAGCTCCTGTTAGCTGCTGTTAGCTGATTTAGCTGTTGTTAGCTGCTTTAGCTGCTGTTAGCTGCTTTAGCTGTTGTTAGCTGCTTTAGCTGCTGTTAGCTGCGTTAGCTGATTTAGCTGCTGTTAGCTGATTTAGCTGCTGTTAGCTGCTTTAGCTGCTTTAGCTGCTGTTAGCTGCTTTAGCTGCTGTTAGCTGCTGTTAGCTAACATTAAATATCAGTGAATCAAACATTGTTGGACACTTAGCAAATAAACTCTCATACAATGTGTAAATGTAAACTGACTGCAGTAACGTTTTTCCACAGTTTTCCCACACAGTGGAAAAACGTTATTTAATTTGTATAGCATGAAGGTCAGGCGTGGAGATGGGTCTTTATCAGTTCAAAAGCTGTAAAACTAATGAAAATACAGTAAAAACACTTCTGCACTTTTTCCAAAGCTGTGCAGTGGGCCCGATCAGAGTGTTTGCCGGGCCGATTCCGGCTCTCGGGCCACATGTTTGTATGTAATATTCCTTAAGGATGAAACTATTCCTCCTTCAAACCAGCGACCCATGAATTTCAGCGTCACGCCTCCACATCCTCCGCTCCACCAGCTGAGCCATGACGAGGCTCTGCTGTTAGTAAATATTAACCACTCCACACAACAACACAGCAAAATACCTGAAACTTCTCAAGTCTTCCCATCTTGGTCCCTTTCCTTACATTCCTACGCTGCCCGTTTATTTATTTATCTTTCCCAACCATTCCGAAACTTCCCACCAGACTGCTGAAGGAGACCAGAGGGAAATCTGACCTTGGCAGCGTAATGCAGGGCGGTGAGCTGGATGCTGGTCGCCCTCTGGTTCACCTCGACATTCAAGTCCTTCACCAGAAACCGCAGAGCCTCATCCTGGCCTGTGACGGCTACCTGGTGCACTGGCTGAGCCCCGAGTATGTCAGCAGCTGCTGCAGATGCCTGTGGCGCGCACACACACACACACACACACAGGTCAGGTGGAGACACTACATATAACTACGTCAGTGCAGAAACATTACTGCAGGGGACTGCTTTGCTCCACCTGGTGCTCGTCTAAAAGAAGCCTGGCCACAGAGATGTGTCCATTCCTGATGGCGTCCATGAAAGGCGTGACTCCACAGCTGTCAGTGCTGTCAGGCGTGTAGCCACATCTGGAAAAACACCAGTAAATGTAAGGATCAGTCAGACAAAGTTATCTGTGAGCTGCGAATCAGCATCAAGCAGGTGGAGCTGCATTTGTGCCAAAAGAAGTCGCATAAATTTAAGAGTGCAGAAATTTTCAGTGTCATAAAAAACAACTTAAATTTTATAACATCTATCTATCCTTTGACTTCTGCGTCACATTTAAATACATTTTTATACTGTGAATTTGTCAATTTAGGGCATTTTGAGTTGATATGGGCGTTATATGTAAGAACTGCTGACAACTAAAGTCAGACAACATCCAGAGTTGACTGGATTTGGCATTAAATATGCAGCAGAATTAGTCTCTATGTAAAATTTCAACATACCTGTCCAGCAAGACCTTAACCACCTCCTCACATCCATGCATTGCTGGATGAACAGAGAAAGTGCAAGTTATATGATTTCCCCTCACGTCACATCTCCACATACTGTAAGTACAGACACCTGCGGTGTGTAGTGGCGTCCTGCGTGTCCTGCTCTCCGTCCTCCAGACGTCTGGTGCAACAAGGAGCAGGTGCTGTATGACCACAGGGTCTCCCTCTCTGCAGGCGATGTGGAAGCAGTTCCAGCCGTCCTTGTTTCTCAGTGCGGGGTCGGCACCGTGGCAAAGCAGCTCCTGGATCACGTCCAGGTTCCTCCGAGTGCACGCCATCATCAGCGGAGTCCTGAGACAGAGACACAAATCTCATCTGACAAACAAACTTACTGCAATTGGTGGATATATTCATACACTCTTTGTAGAAGATCTGTCCCGTACTTACTAATAGAGCCACTAGGGGGCGTGGATAACCAGGGGAAATATGGAGTGAAGTTGGAAAGATAATGTGCTGATGCTGTCCTACTGACCTGTTTTTATTTGTTTCCTGCGCTACAATCATGGAACATATTATACAACGTGTAATATCTTCACATTTTAAGAGTAGCTTATGAAAAAAATAATATTACAATTTCTTTCATGTTAATTTTAAACGACCGTACTGAATACACCCCAAAGGAGCACACAGATACAGTCTGAGCACCACTGTAGAACAGTCAGTGTTTAATAGAGCTGGACTGTATCGTGACTTTCACGTGTCAAATCTCAAGTAAAGCCTGAATTTGAAATAATGTACATTTAATTTGTAATAACGTATTGTATTGTCGGCTATTTTTAGCCCCTTCGATTTCCAACTAGAAACACAAATTTATTGAAGTATATTAAAAAAAAGTAAAGCAGTTCCTTCAGGTATATTTAGCTAATATTACGCCATTTGTTTATAGTTGTCCTGTTCTGTCGAGTTAAAAAACGTCACTCCTTCGAGCCGGATTCGAACCAGCGACCTAAGGATATCAGCATTCAGCCTCTACAGTCCTCCGCTCTACCAACTGAGCTATCGAAGGGCGGTAACTCCTCCCACAGCGAAGCCAGCTTTAAAGTGAACCCGAGAAATATGGCGCTTACTTCTTCCTCCTTCCTTTTACAGTAGGGTTACAGTAATGTAGTAACATGTTAACAGGTTCTTTCTCACCAGTCAGCCTTCTTCAGACTGTCCACTTTGGCGCCTTCTTGGAGCAGGTAGCTAACACAGTCCTTGTGGCTCATGGAGGCAGCTTCGTGTAGCGGCCTCTTGTAGTCGTTGTTGTACACCTCTACATCCAAGCCAACCCTCTTTGTCAGGTACTTTACAACGTCCAGGTGTCCATGCCTTGCGGCGTAGTGCAGCAAGGTGTCTCCCGACTTGCCGAAGTGTTTGCTACTGACAGTTTGCGCCGCAGTCGAGCCGCCTAATGTTATGTGTTTCTCCAGCGCGGCTAACTGTCCGTCCTGAGTGAGCTTCACTAGCAGCTTCAAAGTGTTTTCATCCATGCTGGGTGGAAGTTAAATGCTGGAGCAGAAACTGGCCTACGGGCCAAAATAAGAACAGTTACTCTGAAGTGTTGAAGAACTCACGCTGGCCTGTTTACCAGCGCGATTCCTGGTTGAGCTGCTTAAAATCACGTGGCCAACCATGACCTAACCCTGTACCTCTGAAACCAACATAAAGCACGCAAGTGTTTGGTTTTTTACGTACTTATATCTTGATCAAAATTCTAAATATTATTATGAGCACTAATAGATTTTTTTTTTTGCAATTTTAGATTAAAATGACCTGAATTATACAGTGTGTACATATTGCTACAATTTGATGAGAAACCTTTTATACAACAGTCAAAACAAGGTTAGAATGCCGTCACTTGGATTAGGAAAGAAAGAACATCGTTGCCCTTATAGGAGGGCGTGGCCATGTGGATAGTGGGAGATGTAGTTGTTGTAGCAACGTGATTTGGCTCTCTAAACTTTAGAGAGTTCACGTTGCAAATCACTTTGCTCTTTACATTAAAGACAATTTTGGTCGTTTAGAGTCTAAATTGTCTTTAATGTAGTTAAATAATAAATAAAATTTAGGTTAATAAATGATTACTGGCATAATGTTAACACATCTCATGAGGGTAATTATCACAGACTTTCTTTTTCTCTCTCACAAAATACCAAAAGTGGATCAGATATTGCCATCACTGGTCTTTTAAACGAGATAATCCAGCATCTGGCTAACAAGAAGAAGACCAACAAGACGAGTCACATCTGGAGGAAAAGGTGGGGGGAGAGAAAAGAGTCTCAGTCCTCAGAGGACACGGACCATCAGCTCCACGAATGGGACTAGCTGTAACCTCCACGCTGTTCTTGCTGGTGAGTGTGTTTCAGACATTTGACTTTGTACAAATGATGGCTGTCGTATCAAAGCAGCACTGACACACCTTCATGCTTTGCCATCTAGAAGAGCTTTTTTTTTCTTTTTTGTTCTACAGTTTTATGTCTGTTATGGTTGCATGCTGTTGTAATGTGTAAGGGTTTAAGTAAACAATAGAACTTTTTGTCATTTTACACTAACGTGCTCTGCTTAAAGATTTCCATCGAAGATTTTAACTTCAGCTCTCAGCGCTCGATGAAAGCGTCTGTTTCAGTGGGATCGGTTACTTCTCTACATTAATGGGTCTTTTTGGACAAACACAAACTGTTTTCAGAGTGATGGTTTCTGCACTGCACCATCACACATTCACACACTGTGAGGACTTTGTGCTGATGATGAAAACGTGGTTTTCTAAATCTAATATCACTCACTTGTTAAACTATTTTGTGGCACTGGTATAAACTGACACTGACAATGTGAAACTGCACTGAGATGCATTAGGAGGACATATTACATACAAGAATACTAAAGTGTAATTTCTGTAAATGATGAGTTGTTCAAATGCAGCCCAGCTGTTGGGCAGCTCTGCTCTTCCCAGCTAAAGCTAAGCAGTTCCAGATGTTTCTGAATTCTCTGAAGAGCAGCAAATAAACCAGAAACAAATGCAGGACACAAACTGCAAGTCCTGTTGTATTTCAGCTGACAGCAGCTCTGGTGAAAGGCTGCAGAGTAGGCGTCATTATGAGCTAATCAAGCTGCCATCCTCTCTGGGCAGATTTTACATTTTAAACTTAAAGCATAATTAATGGGGTGTTAGTAAGAATCCCTTATTTGTCTCATGACAGGGGAGATTTCACCCCCTCCGTTCACTGTGTGAGCATTTGTTGTATTTGTATAAAGGTTTGAAAGGCTGGTAGGCAAACACATGCCCTGATGGAGCCGGCACCAAAAAGGAAGGAAATACTTTGGACTCAGCCACGTGTCAGCCATTGTCTCACTGAATCTGTGTCTGGTCACATCACTCTGCTTTCATGTAAAGTTATTTTTGTGTTACTTTTCACTGTAGCTGTTGTTTGAGCTTAGAAACAAACCTATCGGCTTAGGAATGATCGTCTACGTCACACTCTTCAGAGATACGAGCTTCCTTGCTGCTAGTGTTACGATTCCACTGTTATCATTCCTAATCCCACCAGATTGACACGATCCCGACACCACACCGTGACAGAGCCTCCCCCGTGTTTTACACATGCCTCTGGACTAGGGCTGCCAAGATTAGTCGACTAGTCACGATTACATCGACTATCAAAATCGTCGACGACTGATTTAATAGTCGACGCGTCGTTTGAAGCTTTGTAAGATC